TTTTATAAAGAAATTTCACCTCCTAGTCAACAGCTTTTCAGAAAAGAACCATCTTCAACCTAACAATGTGCTCTGCATTGTTCTTCGCTCACAGCTTCTTCAATTTAATAACGAGAATAAAGACCACCAATTCTTCCGAACTTTAAATCTGCTGATAACTACTGAAGCGACTCCATGATTTTGCTAGTTTCAAAGGTAACTAAAGATTTCATCTCGCATGAAAATAAGCTTCTGATGAACAGGAAAACAATAAGAAGATAAGATGGGAAACTGCTTCCTTCAAGGTATTTACAGAAAACTGCACGCAACTCTTAGTTTTCCAAATCTATAACTGCAAAAAATTGGCTGACGACTCTAGAAAGAGAGACCAAAAATTTTCCAGAGGAAGAATAAGGATAGATTTTCAAGCCTGCTGCAGGAATACCTGCTGTAAGTTTCTTAATATCACAAAGGAAAGAACTCATCCCAAAACACTTACAGTCTTTAACTAGCCCAAAACATGGTGTCTGGCTATCTTCAATATTTGAAAGAAAATATTTTATAGGCAGCAGGATCACCCTGAACTAAGGAGATGGCGTTTCTTCAGTTCAAGATTTCATTAGCCTTGGAATCAAAAATGTCTAGCTCTAAGAAGGCCAGTTAGCACCCTTACTATGGTTTTAACAACAGTTTAAGAGAGAAAGAAAGACTACTTGGCAGGTAGGTCCATCTGCCGGGCTATCTAATTTGAACCTTAAAGTAACGAGAAGCCATTAAACCATTCTGCATCTGAAGCAGCCCAATTAATCTGCTCAGCTATTGACATTCTCAGAGCCTTTCAGAGTGGTCAGAGTAAGCAGAACACCTTTTCTGCCTTTGAGAAAACAAGATTCTAACACTAGGTTGCTGCTTAGAAGATGATACATTCACATCTTCAGTCTAGGGTGAAATCACACTTTAAGGAAAGCTCAAAGCTCAGGAGAGTGACTTCACAGTTTGATAAACCTTTTTGAGATAATACCTTCTCCTCTCAAATTCTTCTAAAGCATCTGGTACAAGGCGATCTTTCAGCAACCTCACTGGCATTCTAAGCCTTCCTTGAGACTGACTATGGGGCTGTTCTCAAGGAAAAACCCCACAGTAAGAACTGGACATTTACTCTTACAAGGAACAGAAAACTTAACATAGCAAGAAAAATGTTTCAAATTCCTTCCTGATTCTAGAAGGCAAATGAAAAACAGAGGTGTTGGGAGGAGGGAAAAAAAAAAATCTGTAGTGACCTTCCATGTGAGAAAAAAAGAGGCGAGTTTGTGTGAGAACAAGAAGGGGAGGGGGGGTTACTTATGCCACTACCTCTACATTATGGTTTGATGGTTTACTGCCTTTGACTATAAGTTTAAGTTTCTTATTTCTACACTGGAATGCTGCAAAAGCAACAACAGAGTCGGATCTCTAAAGAAAATACTTCAACTCAATGATATGGATTCCATTTAAATTTGGTGCGCATTTGCCCTTTGTGGGTATTACAAGCAATTTACATAGATTCTGAATTATGGCAGTATTTCACTTGCACAGAGTGTGCTACATACATGAGCTATTTACTTCTTCCAGGTTCATGACCCTTCACATGCCATACACTAATGTCTTTCCTTATCCCAGTCAAAACCTAATGCCTAGATTCCTGTATGGTTTTGCACTCATCTGTCTACTCTCTCCTGCTAAAAGCAGCTACATGGTTTGCACATCTGCTTTTCCTGACACTAACGCTGATGAACTGCATGTCACAGGGAACAAAAAGAAAATGCACTTGCAAAGCAAGGGGAAGGTAAAGAAAGAGCATAACAACAAGCATAGGAAATCAGCTGCCTGAGCCAGAAGGCTATCCTCAGGCAGTGGGGCAAAAGAGTCTCGTTCAGCACAGTCTTTCCAGTGCCTGGGGATGGCTTCCGGCAGGTACACCTCTGAATACCGTGACGGCCATCTTCATGTTGCACATAACCCTCTCCTATGTGAAGGAGGAGGATATACCGCTTCCAGTGGAGAATACAGCACTACAATTTGCTACAATAGGATAAAAAGGTTGAGGAGCAAAAAAAAAAAAAAAACCCAACAAAACAATGCTGGAAGAAAACCTATTCCATTATTTGTGACAGAGGCGAAAGATGGATTAGTCTTATGGAGGTAAGGCAGAAGAGCCCAGCATTCAGGTAGGATACCTCTTAATGTGCTTGTGTAAGACAATAACAAAGCACACACAAGAAAATGGTCCCTGCCTCAGTTCAGAGTCTTGTAACAGAACAGTGGAGAGCACTAAAAGGCTACATACTACTTCTCATACACAGAAAAGCAAGCAGCATTTCTTACAGACTTAAATAGGAAGCGTTAGGAAGAAATAATTTTAGAATCAAATGAGACTGTAAGTCTGAGTGATGAGAAAAATCAGAACAAGATGGCAGTTGATGGATTAAGGATGCTGTAAAATAAGTCATATTTTGAAGTGAGAGTCCGAGAACTCACCATGAGTTCCAGAACAATTTAAGTTTGTGGCTGAAAAACATGAATCGGGAGTAAAAAGGAAGCTCTGCAAGACACTGGGAAAAAAACCCTACTGGGTTACCAAAAGCTCTCCAAAGGCATAGCGTGCCAGGATAAAGGGGAAGGAAAGCACAAGCAGAACTTCAGTGAATGCCACATGAAAAGCTAGGAGTAATGAACAACAGCCTCTGCAAAAGCAGCGGAAAGAAAGGATGTAATCAAAAGAGGACACAGACAGGCAACAAAGGTGGAACAACACTTCAACAGCAGCACAGCTGATGGTGATAAATGTAGCTGACAGGGAAAGGAAAATTAAGTACTGGACCTGAACCTTAGCTAGAAAGAGTTCACCATTAACACTGATTACAACTGGAGCAAAGCACAATCAAAACCACAGTGGAGGACAAGAGCCCCAGACAATGCACTCAAGAATTCTGACATAGAAAAAGGGAAAGGAAATTAAGAGGCAGTTGCAAAGGCAAGGAGGCCACAGGCATTTTGTACCCATCCTTTTTTAAGGAATGACAAACACTCGTGTCTACAGGTACTATGAAGAAAAAGAAAAGCCAGGAGTTAAGCAAGTGATTAAAGGGATGAGTTAAAGAGAAAGGACACAAGGTTCAAAGGATAAGGAGATATTCTTGTATGGTGCCATAAGAGTAGATGAAAGCGTTAAGAAAAGGAGAAAAAGGATGTTCTACTTGTGACAAAGAGATGATCACAACAGTTGGAAGAATGTGATAAAGGGTAGGCCAAAGTGTATTCAGTCACAAAGTCATAAAGATCCCACGCAAAGAAAGAGCTACATGTTGCAACATGCAAACATAAAATCTGCTATGGATAACTGGCTGCTATTTGACAAGTTTGATTACAGCCTATCAACATAGCATGTTTCTGCTGGGTTTACACTCCTTGCAGGTACAGGAACACAAAATGGATCGCTGGAGGACAATCAAGAACTTGGCATTTGCTATTAGAGCAAAACAAGAATCATAAAAGACATGCCTTAAAAAAAAGAGGAAAAAGGAAGCATCAGACTGGAGTGATCCAAATTCAAAATACTGGTGAACTACAAGACATATGAAAGCACAGCCACATCACAAGTAGAATCCAAATGGTGGTGGAAATCCTGAAAGAAACTTTGCAATTATCAAAGATATGAAATTCAACAGTTGCATCAGAACAAGCACACAGGCATGGCTCGATGAAAACCAAATGAAATTAACTGACTTTGTTTAATGAGAGGCTAGAAACAAGAATGCAGGCCAAATCAAGTTAGGGCAAAGAAGCATGTAATTACTGTCAAAGAACAGTTAGTGAAAATTCAGAACAAGCCAGGAATCAAACCTGAAGGGAAAAAACTCATAGGGAGGAAACGAGCACACTGTATGGAACAATACAGAGGGAAAAGAAGATACAAAATGGATCCCAACACTGTTCAGAGAATGGAAGAATCTGAAGGAAACACAAAGAAGTAGTCTAGTGCCTTCTCTGCCATGGACTGACTGATGACAGAGAGCATGAAGCAAAAAGTAACCATAAATAAAGGGATGTAACATACTGGTGATGGCAAAGCAAGCCACCTAACTGTGGTTTTTAAAGCACCAGCTTCTGTCTTAGAAAATCAAGAATAGAATCAAGAATAGTCTCCATCCACAAACAGGTCCTTGCTTTTGTTTTACCTATTTCTTCTCACTCTTTTATACATGCACTTTGAGGAAGTCAGTTATCAGTATAATCTGTGGTATAATCCATACTAATCAATATTAAACCCACCCACATTTCACTTGAAGCTTGCAGATCTCTGTGCAATTCTACTCTATCCACCTTTTAAGGGCTGTAAATTCTTCTACAGTTGAGCAATACGTATTGCAATCACAGAATAACTTAAGTTGGAAGGGATCCCTGCTGAAAGCAGAGTCAGTTCTGAAGACAGATCCAACTTGAGAGGTAAAGTGGGCTGCTTACGGCTTTGCTAAGTCACATTTGCGCCACTCCAAAATTCCACACCTTCTGTCGCTCCCCGTTCCTTCAATCCAATGTCTGACCACCTTCACTGTGAAGGTTTTTGCCTAATATCAAATTGGAATTTTCTTTGTTGCAATTTGCACCCGCTGCTACTTGTCCTTTCACTGTATGACTCCAGAAAGAGCCCTCAAGAATGCTAAATACGTAATAGGATAGAATAAGGAAAGGCAGGGGGGAAGGAGGGGGAAAAGGGAGATCACTGTAATCATCAGAGAGCATCAGACACCCAGAACATTTAGGAGGTAAAGAGCACCCAGCTTTTGGATGCCTGAAAAATCTATCTGATCAGGTGTGGCAGAGATCTAAACAAGGTCATCAAAAGGACATCACTAGAGATATACTTAAGATGAAAGATGACTGTTTAAGATGAGCGAAAAACAAGAAAAAATGGTATTCCAAACATATTGCAAATGGGAAAAAAAAAATAATCATTACATATAGCAAGGTTAGGTACTCACCATCTCTTTTGCCATTTCCACAGCTTCCTGCAGCCCATAGAGCCTGCCACAGACCAGGTAGATTCCATTGGCCCAGAGAATACAACCCTCATGGACCCAAAATTCATTGCTGTCAAGAGGTAGTACAGGAATATGTAACTCCAGCTCAGTGCCACCTTCTGAAGTGGGCATAGATGGTTTTGAGTCCAAAGGAGTCTTTTCACCACCACTGCCACCATCAGTGGTTGCCTTTTTACAAGCAGGTCCCCTTGAAAGTGACCGAGAGGCTCCACTACAGTCCTCAGAGCGGTGCCGCCTCTTAAAGCGGGGATGAGCAGCTAGGCTTCTTTGTTCCTTCTGTTGTTGCTGTTCCTCTTCCTCTTCCGTATCTGTCTTGGAACCATTAGCAGCACTTTTGTGGCGTACCTTGACCTTGCTCTGCATTTCTGTGGCCCTCTTTGGAGGTGGGTTCTTGGGCAAGGTGGCTGCATAATCCTGGGGGTAGAAAGGGCCAAAGAGGTCACCCATGTTACGATAGTTGGCCCATTTGCCGCACAGGCAGCAAACCAGAGGCCCCAAGACAGAAGACTCTGTTACCACAGGGCCTTGCAGCACGAAAGTTGAGGTGGGCAGCACTTTGCTCTCCACATTGCTAGGAGGGGGTGTTGAAGACCGCTGTCCTTTCCGACCTCTCACCAGTTTGTTCTGCTCTTCTTCCTCTGCATTAATGATTGTGCACACAGCGCCTAAGTCACACTTGTTTACCACGTGAATATAAGGGAAAAAGAACTTATTCTTGGAGTCAGTTTTATCTACAGACTGGGTAGCATATTTAAGCTTGATCTCTGGTTCTTGAGGCTCCACAATCGGAGCAGCCCGTCTAGGCTTCCGCTTCCGTGGCTGTGCTGCAGGTTTTCTCCTCTCCCTCCTTTGCCTCTTGGGCTTTGGCTCAGCAACAGCTTCCCCTTCTGAAGACTGCGAAGGTACCGGTGGGGGTGGTGGTGGCGGGGGCAGTTGCTGCTGCTGTTGTTGCTGCTGTTGCTTCTTCTGCTTGTTTACGCTCCCAATTGGCCTCCCCTTTTTCTTTCCAGAGGGAAAATATCCCTTTGGAGGGAAACCATCTGGCTTGGGCGAAATGTTTGTCACATCTCCATCTTTTTCCTCAGCCTTTGGATTTGGTTCAGAAGTAAACACACTGGAAGGGGAGATCGGTTTTGAGTCAGAAAAGGTCAGAGTTCCAGCTCCGCTTACAGATCCCTCCGATCTTCCCTGACCAAATGATTTCTGAGAAGATGGTGCTGCTGCACTGGATCCTGCTCCTTCTTTACCAACACTGGCAGTTTCAGGGACCTTTTTCTTGTTTTTATCATCCTCACTGCTTTGCCACTCTTCTGAGGATCTTGGAAGAGTTACTTCGCCAGTTGTGTCCTGGCTGGCTGGCCCCACTTGATCTGACACGTCTCCTTTTCTCTTTTCAGCCTCTGCTCCATGTCCAGTCATATTTCCTCCTTCAGGTCCACTCTTAAGGGACAGGATGTCATCAAGAGTGACAGCATCTGCACCAGTTTCAGCACTGTTGGTAGAAACGCTTCTCCTAATATTAGGAGATGTAATTTTTTGAACAATAGCTTCCAGTTTTAATCCTCGCCCCTTTCTTGGAGGCAGTATCTTGGTCTTAGCCGGGCTTGTGAGGGAAACAGCAGGGCAATTCCTATTATCAGGACTCGGCAGATTCTTGAAGGAATCTCCCTTTGCAACCGACTTGCCAACATCTTGGCTTTGAGATGAATGGGCGTAGGAGTTGTACGTTTTATCAGCTCCTTCTTTTGCTGAAGTCATCAGACGCCCTTTATCTTCACTGCCACTGTGCTTCATGTCATGTGGCTGTCTTTTGGTAGGGATAGGCGAGATGAAAGAACGGACTCTCCTCCTCATAATTAATGGATTTTGAGGAGACTGGTCTTCCTGGCCAGGAAGCCTAAGCATGGCATTGCTTGGCTTGGGCAAATCTGCAGATTCTTCTCGTCGATGCCCATCGCTTTCTTGAGGGCAGTATCTTTTCTGATTGGGTCCAAGAGGGCCACTGCTTTTGGCTGGAGAAGTTTGCCGAGAGAGGTCCCAACCAGATTCATGATGCTGCAACTTCTGGTTGCCATGTTTCAGTTCGGTACATTTGCTCTGAGTACTGTCACCCCCCATAACACAGCGGCCAGCTTCCTGGCTTCCAGTATCGTGATAAGAGCTACCCTGAAAGTACATCATTCCGTCCTTGTCATTTTTTACAGGACTCCTCACTCTTTCCAGAAACTGCTGTTGTCTTGGGCTTTTCCTTGCTCCTTCCTGCCTGTGCTGAGCTGCAGCAATCACACCCTGAGCAGCGCTGCTTGCCCAATCTTTGTACTCTTCTTGCTGTTGCTGGTACATCTGTCTCTTGTAATGGTACTGGGAATTTAAACTCTGGTTAGGGTCACTGAAAGCATGAGGCCTAGCATTTGTGTGATATGCTGAAGCCAAAGACGGGCCTTCTGAATTCTGAGGGTAAGCAGAATGCAAGGAAGCTCTGTTGACTCTTTCAGACAGCGTCATATGTGGGTTCATGTGATGCAGATCTGTCCCTGGACCTCTGCTTCTGCCTGGTGACATTTTCAGCTTATCAGCAAGATCCTGAAACTGAGAAGGTGATTTGCCCCTGCTGCTTCCAGTTCTGCCAGGTCCTCGTCTCATCTGCATTGATCTGCTGTCCTGCTGGGGAATGTAGTCTGGAGCAGCATCGGAAACTGCAGCTCCAGGGCTAGCATTGCCTCGGAAAGATTCATGCTTGATGCCAGCAGGATGACAATGGTCTCCTGTTTTTTTACTATTGAGACTAGCTGAGCTCTTTGACTGTTCAAAGTCTTCTTCTTTTATTTGCCCACTATGAGCTTTCATCTTGGTTTCCATGGATACTAAACCACCAGGGAGTATTACCGACTGGCTCAAGCCAGGGGCAAGACGTTCACTCCTTCCACTTCTGCCCTCAGGACCCATGTGCCCCATTGGGTGAGGGCCAGGATCTCTGACAAGCTGCCTTAATGGAGATATGTCACAGATCACTGACCTCCTCTCTGAGAGTGTCCCCCCTTCATGGGCAGATGACTGAGACTCCACATCAAACTTTCTACCAATAGGGTAATCGGCTAGATTTATCTGTTTCATATCAGAAGCTGCACTGCCAGACTTCCTATCCCAGGGACCCCAGTGAGGGCTTTCCAGGAGGGACCCCATGCTTTTGTTTAAGAGGCCTCTACTGGTCAATTCATTGGTTTGACTGATTAAGATATTAGGCCTCATGGCTCCCTCCAAACTCCCAGCCATCCCAGAATGTTCTTGTGCGTTCCTGGAGTACCTTCTGTCTGGATGGTGGTGGTGGTACCCCTGTAAGACCTCCTGCAGGAGGCTGGGAAACTTCTCATTCCGGCCTTTGCGCTCACTGTGCCCTGGAAAATCCAGCTTTTCCTGACTAGAAGGATACTGTGGAAAGCCACCAATATTTCTCTGTATACCTGCTGCTACGTTATCCTTGTAACTGTACCTTAAACTGCCAGGAGATTTGGAAGGTTCTGTTCTTGCAGGAAAATTTGGCCCAACAACTGCATGACCAGGCTGGCTGTTTCCCTCTCCATTATGGTTAGTGTTATCTCCACTTTTGCTTCCTTTGCTTCCTCCTTGAGTTTCTGGCTGTGTCCCTGCCTGCCCAGCTTCTTTTGCTCCACTAGCACTAGCTGGTGCCTGAGTGGCTGTGGAAGTATCATCCTGTGCAGGTTTATCTTGTCCACCTGACTTTTCTACTCTTCCTGTCATGGCTTCCCGGGAGACAATCACCCCAACTGCCTTTTCATTCACTTTGGGGGCATTTTCTACAGCCACCACAGCTTCCTTTGTGCCAGGGGAGGCCACATCTTCCCTAGCTGCAGGGCTGCTGCTGAGTTTTGATGGCTCATTCTGAGAGCCCTGTGCTGGTGAGGAGTTGGATCTCTCTAAGTTACCTCCTTTGTAAGTGGTGTCTGAGCTGGTGCTCTGGCCACTCAGCTGTCTCACCCTTTCCCCATGATCCTCTGAACTACTGGAACAGCCACCATCAAGGGACTCTGCTAGGGGAGACTTGAGCTGCTCCTCTGCCTGGGAGGAGCCTTCTGAGTTGGTGCAGCTGTCGGCCTTCTTTGAAGAGGATGACCTTTTGGAACTTTTCTTCTGAGGTGCCAAGGCATCTGAAAGCAACATATGCTGGACAGTGTTAGGCAGATTGGCCACTTGAGAACTAAGAGCACTCAGGCTGCTCAGCCCTGGATCTGTGAGCCTTTTCTCCTGCAGTCCTTCCATCCCAAACCCCTTGAATCCTCCTCCATGAGCATTGGGACTTGGCATCATAGATGGTGTAGGACTCAGCTGAGGCATCATCTGCAGGATTCGGTTTCTAGAACCCATGGACATGTTGCCTTGCCCACACTGGAGGTTATCTCCACCTGGCATGAGTGGAGAAGGGGTAGAACTGCAGCTTGGAGACTGAACCACAGATGCAGCAGGAGACGGATTAGAGATTGGACTGAAGTTTTGGTGGAACTGCATCGGTGACCTTACAGGAACTTCGGTCTGGCTGTACTGTCCCACTTGACTTTGAAGAGAGAGCTTGGTGGCAGTATTTGAATACTGCATTACATGCTGAGGTGGATGCTGTTGCTGCTGCCCCTGCTGCCCACTTTGGGGCAGCTTTGACTGCTCAAAGCTTTTCATTGGTTGAGTCTGAAAGCTGTAGTTTGACTGGGTCCCATATGCCTGTGCATTGGAACCCACAGCATGGCCTTCATACTGCGAGCCAGAATTCACGCTGTAACTTCCATCATAATTCTGTCCTGACTGGCCAAAACGCTGTGGGGACGGGAATGAGGAGGAGGACGACGACGAAGGTGGCTGGTAGTGCTGGCTGAACTGACCCACTCGTAACTGGTATCCAGAAGCAGAGGAAGGCAGGGTGGATGGACGCTGCATGGGCTGCAGGTGTGAGGTGCTAGAAGCAGACTGGCTGGAAGCCTGGGGTAAAGGCTGATGAGATTGGTAGATCTGCTGTCTCAGCTGCTGCACTTGCTGCTGGCTAGAAGCCTGCTGCTGATACTGGGAACTCCCTGGAGAAAAAGGACCAGTATAATCCTGTTGATAGTGGGATACACCCCCAAGGGTCGAGTGCTGTGTCTGAAACTGGCCCACATGTCCCTCACTTCCATACTGACTCCCAAAGCTACTCCCTTGAGGGGGGCCATAGCTCTGTACTGGTCCAGAAGGCCTGCGCTGAGGTGGCTGCTGCCCTCCTGACACTACTGGATCTTTATTGGCAGACATATAGTAAAACTCTCCTGTTTCTTTTCTGAAACCTTGATAACTCTGATGGCCAGAGCTTTCACCAGGCATTGCTGTAGAGGCTCCCGTTGCTCCACGACGTCCACTGCCGGCACCTCCTCCAAAGCTCTGGAACATCTGGGCCTGCTGCCGGGGACTGAACTGCTGCAGTCGGGATGAACCGTGCACTTCCTGTGGGTAGCTCTGCTGGTTTCCGTGATAACTATTTTGCTCGCGAAAGGACTGCATGCTGTTCAGCAGTCAATGAGCAACTGCAAAGCCCTAAATGGGGAGAAAAAGAGAAAAAAAAAGGTATAGCATCCACATCTCCCAGTCACACCGACACCACTGCTCAATTTCATTGTTTTAATGGCTATTAAAATTAAGCATTTGTTTCCTACATCAATGTGTATCCCCTCTCCTTGCAACTTTCCACCCTTCTAGGTAGTGCAAGAGGAATCACTCACTTTCAAGAACAGAAGTCACTAGCCTACTACCAGTTGGAACACAGTTTCAGCATTACTAATTCCCTGCAGGCATTTACTAACTGTGCCTGTTTATGTGCCCCTGAATAAACAAACTTCCAACAATATTTTTACAAAGCAATGAAGAACAATCCTCACCCTACAGCTATTTTTCATGGCTAATACTGGTAACAGCAATCAAGCATTTGCTACCATGTTTAAAGATGCAACAAGAACCCTGCAACACACTCAAGCCACACTTGAATCTACTGCAGGAATTATAATCCAAGGCCCATAGTTCATTTTGGGAATGATCTCTTTTAGAAAACAAGATACAACTGATCAAAGCTCTAATCAAGATATTAAAGGATCTGTGGGAGCCTATGAAAGAACTGGCACTAGCATGCCCGAAGACATCTGCTCCATGCTCTGTTCCTGACTACCCAAGGAACTCTTTGGTGAAAAGGAACATGACAAGACAACACATGGTACTTCCCCCCCATGGAAAATCAGAACAAGTCCACTCTTCTTTGAGCAGAAGGGTCTACAACTTCATCCCTTGGGACTTTTATGTTAGCCTGAGTGATACGTAACTGAAAACATTCGTCAGACAAAACACATACTCTGGAATACCATGTATGACCATCTGCATTTACATAATCAACTCTTAAGCAAATGCACTTCAGGAAGGCTATGTACTTCAGTTTATTTTTCAGTATGTGGAATCATAACTCTTCCTTCAAGGACTAGCCTTACAGCTGCAAAATTGTTTGGGGACCCTGGCTAGCCCCTTTGTGAAAGCCTGACGCATCACTATACACATTAAGTATGGTAATGAAAAAGTATATGCATATACCCTGCTATTATTATAATTTAAATAAATAAAAATCAATAAACAGATGAGAAAAACATTAAATTTCTGAAATACCTTATGGTTTTCTCTTCCTGAAAACAAACTGGATAAAGTCACCTGGAGAGAGTCCTTCCTTTACACAGAGGTAAAGACAATGCTCAAACTTTTCCAGGAAACAGAACACTGACTCCTTAGATTAGAGACTTCCTGGAAGACTTGAACTACGTTTTCTCATTCAGCCATGTTTTGTGCTTACCACATTCAACTGAGCCCACTTAGAATTAAAGCCTAGTTTTGCATTTAAAAAGTTCTGTTCAGGTAGATCACCAAAGAGCCCCAAGAAAACAGGCACACAAACAAGGAGATGCAGGTGATGCTTGGCATCATGATCTTTTCCCATCTGGCTCTCAATATATATTATGTATTTTAATTAATATATAAGTTAGATACAGAAAGCTCTAATTCTACCTTTATAATCATTCAGAAAGGCACCCTGGTTATAGCTGGGTTTCTACTATCTGTGCACGCAGGCTACAGAACACACACACAAAAAAGCCCCACTGCAATACATGTCTCCACAATCCCTCCCTGCTAACTCAATGGCATCTTTGTGTTGCAGCCTTGGTTCATGCAGCTTGATGTCCACAAGAATATTACTGAAACATCTACTAGAATAGAAGAGAACTTTCAAATTGTTAGTAATTCCAATTCTGTCTTTCCCCTTCCTGAAAGTCAGCTTTACTGCTGTTACTACTTTATACTCTTTTAAGTATCATACTATAAGAAAGGTCTGCTGTTCTACTGAACTTCCACTGTTACAGCATTTTAAAGACTACATATACCACATAAGTAACACTCCTATGAATGCCAATCCAGTTTGGGCTTCTTTGGAGAAACCCTTCCTTTCTGCCAATTGTTCCCTTTGATATTTCATCAGTCTGAAGCTTCTGCCCTCAAAACTGGGATACCTAATGCAAGCTTTTTTTCTCCCTTTCTGTATGACTTGCTGTTAAGATGAAAAATAGGACCAAATAATAAAAGCAGGAAAGAAAACATACATTGAAATAAAAGGGAGTTACCAAACTAAGAGTAGGAGGACATTTACTGTAACTGGCAGATCCTAGAAAGCAGCTTCTCTAGGTAAGTAGTTTGGGACCTTGCAATCAACAACATTCATGTGCTATGGAGAGAACGTGCATGCTCTGGCAGTCAGTGCTCTGCATCCTCTTCTCATGAAAGCAACATTTCCATCCTCATCACAGGCTCAGTCTCTCCCAGAATCTCAGCCTCATTTTTAAATGACTTGACTAAGGCTTACTTTGCATAGTCTGAACAAGGCCTCAGGAAGTCTCTCTTGCATTACATCATACAAAAACTTTTGTCACTGATGATATTCATTCTTTTATAATACTAACAAAGGGTTGAAAACTGCTGACATACTTTAACAATGTTAGGAAACATCCTTAAGACTTCCTCACTATTAAAAACAATTTTAATCACATAATGGAACAGAAACAGCAGCAGATGTTGGAAAATACCTTCAGGAACACAGATCCAGTAAAGATCAACCTGAGGCACAAATTTCTATCCTCCATAATCTCATGCAATCACAAAATATTTACTGAGTCCAGAAGATAGATACAGTAACTGAAAACATGTTTTTATCCTTCAGTTTATTGGGGTTTTGTTTGTTCGGGTTTTTTTTCATCTTGGATTTTATTTTGACAAATAAATGAAAAGTTTTCATCCACAGAACTTAAACCACTGGTACCCTAAGCAAATGTGTTCTGTGTTCATGTCTCCTACAGAACAACACTTGCTTCAAATATCTCACAAGGACCTTGAGTAACACAACAGTGGAATAGCAACCAATAAAATAAACAACCAACCAACAACAAAAAAAAGGGCATTTCATTAATAACATGAGTTAAGAGAAGACAGGAGGTGCTTCAATCCATTACATCATTGATAACTTAAGACATAGAGCACATTCCTGTCATTAATGTACTATATAGGACTATTACAATTACTATAGTAATAATCTTTGTTAATAATAACAGCCCTGCAAAGTGCTTAGATCCAAGTGCTGTGTTCTCAGAAAACCATCGAGTCTAATTCCATGGGCAAGCCCTGTTAATAAAATATATTCAGATAGACTTTGAAGGTCTCACCTATCTCAATTCACAGGAAAAAATATATCTATTTGACTAAATTCTTCCTGGAAGTCTTTAAAGAAAAGATTTTCAGCTGGTACATACTCCTCCACATGCAGGAACTCTAGAGAACGATATACCAGCTGGTGACTAGAGACTACAACACAATCATGTAGAACTCCATAATGGTGGCATACATCCATAATCCCTCCCCCAGCAGAAGGGGACAAAGTCCCACCTCCAAGTGCTCCATCAACATCCACAAATTACACACATCTACAGTATCTTCCAACTCACACAATAAAAACCACCCAAAGCCTTCCTCATTTATTCAAAGGGAAGGTAAGATTCTGACACGGCTTTCACTACTCCAGTGTCACACCTACACACGCATGTAGCTCTCCTTAAAACTTTGTGATTCTCCTCAAGTATTTATAGCCTGTAGCTCTAGAGCCATCTAAGCATATCCACCTAGAGATTACAGAGTACATTCACTACGCTCAGCAGCTTCACTCTGCTCCTACACATTTGTTTCCTCCCCAGTAGCCCAGTACTCAAAATTTGCCTTCAACCCAGTAAGAACAAAGGGAGCATTTTACAAGCTTGTGTGGCTGATAAAGAAACAGCCTCACTTACGAAATCACTGCACAGAAGTCACGACTAGAGAGAACTAGTAGGTCTTCTTATCCATATCTCACTTGGACTTATTTGTGAAACATCTAAAGTCATTTCAGATGGTCTTTCAATCTACCTTCTCCACATGAACTTATTTTTAAGCACATTTACAATGCAGATTTTTTTCTTCTTTAATTGTCCAAAACAGCCTTGTAGAACTTAGGTTAACATTGGAGTTCCTCAAAATATGGAGCTACTGCCTTGTGATCCTGCTGTGAGCAAGATTATCAAATGGTAGTCAACAGCATGTAAGCATCTTTCGACGGTTCCTGCATGTATATGAGACTGCCCCCAACCATTGCTGCTTAACAGCGTTCATCAGTACTCCCACACCAAGACTACTGTGTGAAATGATCTTCTGCAACATACTGTGCTAAGTTTTTTTAATCCACATAAATCTTGAAAGCTTTTTTGGTCCCAATTACCAAGGATTGGACAAATACAGGACAGCTGCCCAGATCTTCCCACGTAACACTGATGCCAGTATAGTAGTGCATCATTACAGACAGACAGCTCAAAACAAGCGAGCTAAAACTCAAAAATACTGTGGGGATATGCTTAATTCTTAATGATAAGCCTGTAAAGGAGCAAATGAAACCAGCATCACTTAATTCTCTAGGACATAAGTGAGGTCTTTCTGCTTCGCTAAATTTTCTTTATATTTGGGTTGACTACTGTGACCCATCTGTGCAGAGAATTCTCAGGCAGCAGTCAAATGTAATATATTTTTGGTGATCTGTCAAAGACCTCTCACTTCCTAGCATGCTTATCAGGAAAGAAAATGTAGTTACAGGCAGGTGACAAACAGTAAGATAGCATTTGCCACAGTATAAAAAAAAAAGTACATGAACAAGTGGGGTTTCTCTAGAGTGCCTAAGCTTCTGATTAAAATACTTCTTTGCTAAATGCTGTGCAAATAACAAAGATATACATACATCTCCATAGCCACTTCTAGTCATAACCCATACAAGATGCAAAAATTACCATTTTTGTCCTTCCTCACTGTATCTTCTTAAAGTAGTAGAGCACACCCACAACCAAACCCCATCAAGCCAGAACTTGAGTATGAGCAACTCAGTGGCATAATTTGTGAGTAAACAATCTCCAGGATCTGAATTAAGCCTGAAATATAAGAAA